AGAATTAAATGTACAACAATAATAATAAATAAGTGAGGAAGGAGGAAAGTGAGGTTAAATGTGTTATCCGTGGGGAGGGTAAAGGTACAAGTTAACTTTAGGTTTTGATGTTATGAAGGAGTACTGGAAGCAGCGCTTCCTCAGATTCTCTTGGCCACACCCTTCTTTCCAAGATGCTGCCCGCCTCCTCCTCTGCACTGCTGCTGCCTTTGCCCAGCTTCCTGAGCGGGCTGGAGTCCAAACTGAACTACACCAAGCCTATCTGACCTTCCAGAGTTGGCTGCAACGCCACACCACTGAGCCTGACAGCTGGCTCCCTTAGCAGTTACCAAAGGACCAGATGACACAGCCCTGTGTGGCAAGCCTTGGCTAGTGGGAAATGGAAGAAGTTAGGAAATTGCATTACCCTCCCCTCCTCCCTTCGACAGACTGTGCAGAGGGGCAGCTTCTCTTTATAAACCTTCTGGAGAAGTCCCAAACTCTAAGTGAACACACTTGCTGGGAGACTCCTATGACTCTTCACAGTTTGTTATCAAGCCTGGCCACTGTGATAACATATTGTTTCTCCTTGTCTCACTTTCCCTTTTTTTCCTTAACCATACTTCCCTAGATCTGCATCTCCCAAATAAAGCAACAATACTTTCACCTTTGCCTGAGGTTCTACTTTCTAGAGGACCCAAGTTAAGGAATTACGTGTACTGTAATTTCTAGAATAACCTCTAAAAGAATAAAAATAGAGTATACAATTTCCAAACTAGTTTAGGAAAACAAAGAATGGTGGGAAACAAGCAATCCAAAAAAGGGCAAGAGGGACTTCCCTGGTGGCACAGTGGTTAAGAATCCTCCTGCCAATGCAGGGGACACAGGTTTGATCCGTGGTCCAGGAAGATTCCACATGCCACAGAGCAACTAAGCCCGTGTGCCACAACTACTAAGCCTGCACTCTAGAGCCCGTGTGCCACAACTACTGAAGTCTATGCGCCTAGAGCCCGTGCTCCACAACGAGAAGCAACCGCAATGAGAAGCCTGTGCACCGCAATAAAGACTAGCCCCCACTTACCGCAACTAGAGAAAGCCCACACGCAGCAACCAAGACCCAACGCAGCCCAAGATAAATAAAATAAATTTAAAAAAAAAAAAAAAAAAGGCAAGAAAGAAGAGAAAAATGAAGATGGAGTAGTTGAAACAAATAGCACAAAGTAAGATGGTAGATTTAAACCAAAATGTATCAGTAGGCACATTAAATATAAATGGACTAAATGCTTCAGTTAAAACAAAACGACTTTCAGGAAAATAAAAAAGAATATGAAGTGAAATGTATACATTCAAAAGTATTTAAAATGAATCTAATTTTCATAATGACTTTTAAGCTTTAAGGAGTTTTCTAATCAAACAGAACTCAGAAAGACATACTATTCAGAAAGGTTCCTAATGTTAAAAAGTTTCCTTCATTATTGTAGTATACTGTGGAGTTCCATGAGGGAAACTAAGGCCAGAACTTACAGTATTATTAGATCACCATTTTTATTTCTATAATCTAAAACAAACCAGGATTTTCTCTATAATTTTTTTTAATTAATTAATTTATTTTTGGCTTCATTGGGTCTTCGTTGCTGTACGTGGGCTTTCTCTAGTTGTGGTGGTGGTGGGGGGCTACTCTTTGTTGCAGTGTGCTGGCTTCTCATTGTGGTGGCTTCTCTTGTTGCGGAGCACAGGCCCTAGGCATATGGGCTTCAGTAGTTGCGGCACACGGACTCAGCAGTTGTGGCTCGTGGGTTCTAGAGCGCAGGCTCAGTAGCTGTGGTTCACAGGCTTAGTTGCTCCGCGGCATGTGGGATCTTCCCGGACCAGGGCTCAAACCTGTGTCCCCTGCATTGGCAGGCAGATTCTTAACTACTGTGCCACCAGAGAAGCCCTCTCTATAATTTTGAGACTAGAAATTCCTCCTTATGTCTAACTAAAATATTCACCTTAACCTTATCAAGTATACAAATAAACCCCAAAATTGTAGAAAGAGATAAAGCAGCCCCCAAAAAGGCACTCAATGTCCCTTTTATATACAGTACTGTGAGTGTGTGTCTAATATATTTCTAAGTAACTCTTCAAGAGGTGCCTACTCATGGTCTTTCTTTTACTTCAAGTAGGGGGAGATAAAATATTCTGACTATGTTAAAGGCATCTCCTTCAAGCCACTGATACCTCTTGTGGACAGAGCAAAAGGAAAGAAGACAGCAGTTAATTTGGTTACCTAGAGCCGAAGTCTGTTTACTTGTAAAGAACCATTTGGGTCTAGGCGCAAAGAGTATGACTCTTGGGAGAAAGATCTGTACTTTGGTCAAATTATGTCTTAGTGTGTGTGTGCACACATGTGTTGCTAAAAATACATAATTCTTTCTAATAACCTATAAGGGAAAATAATCTGAAAAAGAATATGTATATATATATATATATAAAAACTGAAAATAATGCATATTCCTGGGCTTCCTCCAAGATTTATTGAATAGACTCTCCAGGGTGGGATTACATTTTCTTTACTGATAACATTCTTCACTAAGAATTGTTATTTATAAAATCATGAATATCATAGTTAAACTCAATCTAGAGTGACTAAAGTTCATAGATTTAAAATAAACATACCTTTGCTATGGAAACCTGATTCACTCTCAGAAGGGTATATCCTAGAGAGAGTCCTGCCTATAACAGTATATCTTCATTGAACCTGAAACATGGACCTCATCATACATTCTCACCCACATTTTTCTGATGACCCAGGGTAGGAAAGTTGAGGGGGATTAAGTTAAACAGTCCCTGGGTATGAACCCGAGTGAGGCTAACAAGGATAGTTCATTAACCTGAACTATAAAAGGTAAGCCAGTCTCAGATAACAAACCACCAAAATGGTGGTATTAGATATACACCATTAAGTAAATACTTTACCAATCATTACAGAGGAAGCTTTAAAGTAATAGGTTTCTTAGACTTTCCTTTCGAACTGTTCTTCACTGGAGTTTCTTCTAAAGAATCATTTTATTTACAGTCGCAAATGTCTTTTTAACACATTCAATGTGTATTATATGCTGGAATCAAATAGCTGAAGGAGCTGGAATCTTATGAATACAGCCAGGACAACAATGGAGAGAGTCATGAACAAAAATATCACAGTCCACACAAAAAACATTTTGGCACACAGTGCAAACATAGACCTGCAGTGAAAAGAAGAAAACTAAATTTAAAAAGTAGTTTCCAAAAGTTAGGTACAGCATAGTTAGAAGACATTCAAGTTGCTTTGCTCTTTTATATCTCTATCACTTTTTCCCTACTCACCTACCAACTTTATTAGTTCCAATGTACTATATATTCTCAAATAGAAGGCAATTAATTTCTTCCAAAAAAGTACTCCTTAGAAATGAGGGAAGGGGCTTCTCTGGTGGCTCAGTGGTTAAGAATCCGCCTGCCAATGCAGGGGGCATGGGTTCGATCCCTGGTCCATGGAAGATCCCACATGCTGCGAGCAACTAAGCCCGTGTGCCACAGTTACTGAGCCTGCACTCTGGAGCCCACGAGACACAACTACTGAAGCCCATGCGCCTAGAACCCGTGCTCTGCAACAAGAGAAGACACCACAATGAGAAGCCCGTGCACCGCAACGAAGAGTAGCCCCTGCTCGTTGCAACTAGAGAAAGCCTGCGCACAGCAACAAAGACCCAATGCAGCCAAAAATAAATAAATGAGATAAATAAATTTATAAAAGAAAAAAAAAGAAATGAGGGAATAACTTCGTTTTTGAGTCCTTAAAGTCCCCTGGGGACTTCCCTGGTGGCGCAGTGGTTAAGAATCTGCCTGCCAGTGCAGGGGACACTGGTTCAAGCCCTGGTCTGGTAAGATCCCACATGCCGCAGAGCAACTAAGCCTGTGTGCCACAACCACTGAGCCTGCGCTCTAGAGCCCGCGAACCACAACTACTGAGCCCGTGCACCACAACGACTGAAGCCCGCACGCCTAGAGCCCGTGCTCTGCAACAAGAGAAGACACCGCAATGAGAAGCCCTCGCACTGCAACAAAGAACAGCCCCCACTCATCACAACTAGAGAAAGCCCACGCACAGCAGCAAAGACCTAATGCAGCCAAAAATAAATAAAAATAAGATAAATTTATTAAAAAAAAGATGGTGTCTTCTTAAAAACTTTCAAATGAGTCAAATAGTGGTTCTAGTGAGGATGCAGCTACTGATGTCAAAGAGGCATGTAAAACTTAATAAAATTGTTTTTTTAATTGGTTTTTTATATATATATTTGGGTTTTTTGGGGGTTTTTTTTGGCATGCCTCAAGGCTTGTGGGATCTCAGTTCCCCAACCAGGGATTGAACCTGGGCCACGGCAGTGAAAGCACTGAATCCTAATCACTAGACCACCAGGAAACTCCGATACAACTGTTTTATGATATGTGAGAGTAGAATAAAACAAGCCATCCTTTCAACTAATATTTTATATAGTTTATAAAGTATAGTTTTAAATATGGACATGTAACTAAATTAACAAAAAATTAAAACTAGACAGTGATCTATCTTATTTGCAACTTTATATAAGTTTATATGTTCAAATTGGCCCCATCGAAATTTTAAAAAATATTTTCTCAGTGGCACAATGGGGGAATAAACTTTGGTCTGCGGTCACCTTAAATGGTAACTTCAAAATAAGTTATGAGTGCCTAAAGTACAACATGGAGAAAAAAACTTTTAGTATTTCCAAACTAATATTTCAGTATTTCAGTTTAGCTTACAAACTGAAAAAAAGTACTAAAATATCTTTATAGCAAAATTAGAATGCAGAATTACAAAACAACTGTTTGTAATAGCTCCCATTTTATCTCTACCTACTGTTATACTTCTAAGGAATAACCTGATATGAGCCTGGTCTTTAACAATCTATTGAAAACTTATAATACTATTTCCTCAATATTTATTGTACAATACTTAATATTTACAAAGCACATGAACTTACATGTTGGTCTTTCAATTCCCCCTGACAGGCATAACAAAATCTGAAAAAGAAAGTTTAAGAATCATTTTGTTAAGGACTCACTCATTAAAATAGCTCAGGAAAATTTCAACAAGAATTCTCTTATTAATAAGTACAGTTGACCCTTGAACAACACGCAGGCTAGGGGTACCAATCCCCGAGGTCAAAAATCTGAGTATAACTTTACAGTTGGCCCTCTGGCTCTCTGACCCTCCATATCAGCAGTTCCACATCCGAGGATTCAACCAACTGTGGGTCATGTACTGTAGTATGTATTTATGGAAAAAATCTACAAGTATGTGGACCCTTGCAGTTCAAATCCGTGTTGTTCAAGGGTCAACTGTAATTATCTTTACCTATGATTTTTAGGAGAAAGAATTAAGAATACCAGTAATTTAAGAAAATTCCACAGTAAATCCCAAGGTCATCTGACAGCTTAAAATCTTCCTTAAACAAATTTTATTTTATTTTCATCAAGGTTAAATATGAGTATGATTTCTCAGCTTGTATTCTGCAAGGGAATTAAGACCTACAGAAAATGATTTGCATGATTATTTTTCAACTTTCCCAAAGACAGCAGACAGCTGGTACAAGTCTAGATGGATAGAAGTTAATTTATCATAAAAATGGATGCCTAAGGGCTTAATTTTCAAGGAATGGTTTAAAGAATTAAAAGTTCTCAAAATTTATTACAAAAGAGAGCAGTTCTGTCCCTACCCACCCCCACTTCATTTCCAGAGCAAATGCTCATAGTGCTACCTCTTGGTTTTTTTTCATAGGCCATTGGCTATGATCCTGCCACTACAGAAGATGAGATTTTAATTCTCTTTCAACTATCTTGAACCAATAGCAATGGGTACACATAACTACATAGAAAGAATTGAGAATGACATTTGTTAAGTCATTTTGGATAGAACAATATTAAATGTTTAGTTTATTATGACTACATAGACATATTCATCTGAGCCATGCCATACAAATTTTCCTCTCTGTAAAACACTTTCTCCTGGAGTTAATAACTGTATTGTTATTCATAAGCTTAACTTTTCTAATTACCACTAACTCAGCCCCAACCGATCCCTGAGAAGTCTGAATATCCTCTTGTTATGTTCAGCTACATCAGGAATTCTATAGTTTCCATCCTCTGGTGACATCTCTCCTGGAGCATTCTGACCTTCTCCAAACTAGACTGACTGTTCTCCATATCTGACATACAAGTGTCATTCTAGGACGTCATCCTACAGCTTTCTTTAGCCACTTTTGAATTAGGTAAATATTCCTATTCTCTTTCATTCATTCTCTTTCTCAATTCTTTTGAATCATCTCTTCCACAGCTTCCCAAGAAAGTCTCTTGAGACCTTACAAGTCTGAAAATATCTTTATTGTACCTGCATATTTTTTTTTGGCTGCACTGCACGTCATGTAGGAACTTAGTTCCCTGACCAGAGATCAAACCCACACACCCTGCATTGGAAGCACGGAGTCTTAACCACTGGACTGCCAGGGAAGTTCCTATTCTACCTACATTTAAATACCTTGGCTAGGTATATAATTCAGGTTGGTAATAATTCTCATTCCAAATTTTGAAGGAAATTGCTCCCTGTCAACATCCAGTGTTGCTCACAAGAAGCCAAACAATTTTAATTCCAGGTCATGTGACCCAATTCTCCCTCTCCAGAAATGTTTAGGGTTAGTATTTTGCTGTGTATTCTGAAATTTCACAATGATACACTTTAGTGCAGGTCTGCCTTCAATATGTCAGGCACTTGACAGTCCCTTTCTATCTAGAAATTTTTTTCCTTCGACAGCAGAAAATATCCTTGAATATTTCTTTCGTACTCTTCATTTGATCTTTTCTTTATTTTTTATATTATTTTGATATTAGGCCTTCTGGATAAATCTTCCAGTTTTACACCATGGAAATCAGCAAATGCTACAAATTGGGGCTTTTTTTTTTTCTTTTTGGAGAGCTGATTTACCAACATACCACCACTCTTACTACACATAAATGGGTTTGGGGAAATTAACAGATCTCCGGAGATCCAGATCTGTTTAAAGAATCATTTCAGTCATAAACAAGGCATTCTACATCTCATTTTCTATATTAGCAGAAATCGTGACCAAGTGAATATGACTCTTTTTAATGTAGTAACAATATATTCAAACATTACCACTTGTAACAGATACAAATTACTCAAAACTCATATACCTTTCTCCATTATGTTCTTCCAGGGGAATATCTTGAAAAGCATCCAAAGGAAATAAGTGATGGTAAGACCGTGCCAAGTGGGGAGCAGACACCAAAGTAAGACCTAACACATAAAGCAGAAAGACATATTTAATAACCCAAACCTCATAAAGATGATGGCTGACATGTCAAATGATATAACTTAGACTAAATATTTTCAAGTTCTTTTTTTTTAGGATTGCAGGCATTCATTTCTTTAGTTTACCTGTGGCCATAAAAGGAGACTCCAGGATGGAGTCTTAGTTCTGTCACTAAGTATGTGACCTCTCTTGGCATATTTCCTTACTTATAAGTTAAATAAAATTCTACAATTCTGTTACTTTAACTTCTCATTCTCCTTATATATATTTATTTTATGAAGAGCTGCAAAAACATCTACTAGATCTACTGCACTGCCTTTAAAGAACATAATTTTTTTCAGAAAGAGAATTAGGAAACTCTTTTAGAATGCCATGTTTATTTTTAAAAATGGAGTACTAAGCACACAATGAAAAAAAGTAATCTATGTCTTTTTTCACAGATTAAATCCAGAAACATAGGCAGAGCTTAATATTTATATTTATTTTAATAGCAATATAGGTAAGAAATTATTCAAGATTAATTTACTGGATCATGAAGAGTTAGTTTCTTACCACAGATTTTACATTCAACAGGAAGCTCACAGTATTTTGCCCGACACTGTGGGCAGAAATAGCCTCCTAATGTAAGTCCTGGCTCAGTGTTGCTATCCAGATGCCTGTAGGGGGAAACATTACTTTTTAAAAAGTGATATATAAAGATGTGAGCAGTTAGAGCAAAAGCCACTCTGATTTTAAAACCTTCAAGTTGTTTCACTGCTCACTTACACTCTGTTCATTTTTGTCTTTTTTTTCCTCTCTGCATTTTGTTTTGAATAGTTTCCATTAATGTCTTTGAATTCACTCACCTTCTCTTCTTCAGTGACTAATCTGCTGTTAATCCTAATCCATCTTATTTTTCATCTAAAACACTGTATTCTTCATCTCTAGAAATTTGATTGGGGTCCTTTTTCTATCTTCCATATCTCCTATCATACTCATGTACTCCTCAACTTTCCTGAGCATATGAAGTATATTTACAATAATTATTTTAACACCAAACCTATTACTTCTATCAACTGTGTTATTTCTGGATATGTTTCCATTCTACGATTTTTCTCCTTGTTATGGGTCATACTTTCCTACTTCTTTGCATGACTGGCAATTTTTGATTGGTTGCCAGATATTGTGAATTTTGCTCTGTTTTGGGTGCTGGATTTTTTTTTGCATTGCCTTAAATACACTGTGGCTTTTTCTGGAATATACTTAAGTAACTGTGAAATAGTATGATGCCAAGACTTGCTTTTAAGTTTGTTAGGCTGTCCAGAACAGCTGCTAGTCTAGAGTTAACTTGGTTTCATTACTGTGGACTCTATTCAATGCCTGCGGTGTTAAGAGGCCTTTCCACACTGACTGGTGGTAACATGAACTACTCCCTGCCCCATGTGAGCTCTAGGGATTGTTCTGCTGCTCCTCTCCAGTTCTTTCCCTGGCCTCCAGGAGATTCCCGGCAGGAATGTACAGATCAACACTCATTTAATGACTCACGGGGAGCTTCAGAGGAAGCTCTCCAGAGCTCTCTGTGCAGCTCTTTACTCTCGAGTACTCTGCCCTGCAAAATGGTAGCTGCTTCCACCCCCCACCCCCCAAACTCTGAACTTTGTTTCTGAATGGAGCAAAACCTCCTGGTTCTGTGTGGGTCTTCCCTCCCTGCACAGCAGCCTGGAAATCCTCTCTAGGCAGTAAGCTGCAATCATAGGGCGCACCTCATTTGTTTCTCGTCTTGCAGGGATCATTATCTGCACTGCCTGTTGTCCAATGTACAAAAAACACAGTTTTGTATATTTTGTTTGGTTTTCTGCAAGGAGACAGAAGTGTAAATCTAGTCCCTATTACACTTTTATAGCTAAAGACAGTAGTCTTATTTATGAGTTTTAAGAATTACTTTCTTAAATTTACTTTTATTTTATAATTATGTAAAATGTAAAGCTCCAAAGTTAAAACAAGTTATATGCAGAAAAGTCTAGGATCTATCTCTTTGCCTTTCTCCACACATTGCATTAGTAAACATTTTTTTAGCTTTTACTTTTTGGTTTCATTACTATTTTTATTATTAATATAAATAAGTATGTGTATCTACTCAAACCTCCACCCTCTTCTTAGATGATCGGTAGCACACTATACACTTTTCTCTACCTTACTGTTTTACTTAGTAATATTACAGGAGTATATATAGTTTTCACTCCTTTTTACAGCTATATAGAAAGTAATCTTCTACAAAAGCCATTACATTTCAAGTCCATCTTTTAAATTTATAACTTACAGGAAGGACTTAACAATGTAAAAACATTATCACGGACAATTTCAAGGTTTTTACTTACGCCATACTGAAAGAGGGTTTTGCATCCTGATCAGACAGAGAAGCAATGGTATGCTGAGGAAATCCTTCACAGAAGAAAATGTATTACTTTTTTTTCCTCAAGGAAACAGAAAAATTCTAGTAATAGAAACCTAAAAATGTTCCTACCAGAAAGCCCACTAAGTTGTGCAAAAGTTCTCTTTCCTGCCTTTTAGATATGTTTATTATAGCACGGTCAAACTGACAGTAATTCCCAGTTTAAAAAAGAATTAATAGGGCTTCCCTGGTGGCGCAGTGGTTGAGAGTCCGCCTGCCGATGCAGGGGACACGGGTTCGTGTCCTGGTCCGGGAAGATCCCACATGCTGCGGATTGGCTGTGGCCGTGAGCCATGACCGCTGAGCCTGCACGTCCGGAGCCTGTGCTCCTCAATGGGAGAGGCCACAGCAGTGAAAGGCCCGCGTACTCCAAAAAAAAAGAATTAATAGTAGAGGAAATGGGGGAAAGATCTGTCCATACATATGGCCTCAGATTCTAAAGTTCATATCCATATTTTCTAATTTAACAATGCTTAACACACACTGCTTTTTAAAAAGAAAATGTGTGTAATTTTTAAATACTTTCTGATATAACAGAGGAGTCTATAATATAGTCTACTTTCATTTTATATAAGAACATACTTCTAGTTTAAAATTTTGGAATGTCCAAATCCATGCAGTCTATTTTCCATATATATTTTTAAATTCTGAAAACAAGTCTAAGAAAAGCAGAAACCATAAAAAAAGAGACATTTCATTCTATATAAAAATTTTAAACCTATCTACATTTCAAAACAAATAAAAGTAAAGGAAAATGACCAACTGAAAAAACATTTGCATCAGGTGACTGAAAATGGGTTGATATTCCTAAATGGTTCTAATAAATCAATTTGGAGAATTATTATAAATTTAAAAATAACTTTAAGATAGGCTAAGGAAATGTATCAGTAAATCGAAAAGATTAGCCAACATAATATCTAAAATGTACTGAGTGTTTATATCAAGCATTACTCTAAATACTTGGTCTGTATTAACTCAATCCTTGCAACACACAATGAAACAGATACTAATATCACGTGAGATGAGGAAACAGGAAAGAGAGGTTGAACAGTACTATAAATAGCCAAAAACAAGGCAGAAAAGCATTCCATCTCACTGACAGTTTAAAAATGCATATTAAACAAGGAGTCTCTTTTTTTTTTTTTTTTTTTCTGGTACGCGGGCCTCTCACTGCTGTGGCCTCTCCCGCTGCGGAGCACAGGCTCGGGACGCGCAGGCCCAGCAGCCATGGCTCACGGGCCCAGCCGCTCCGCGGCATGTGAGATCTTCCTGGACCGGGGCACGAACCCGTGTCCCGTGCATCGGCAGGCGGACTCTCAACCACTGCACCACCAAGGAAGCCCCAGGAGTCTCTTTTTGTATTGAAAAAGCTGGGCTTTTTCAATTACAAATTACAAAATAGTTGGGCTTTTTCAATTTCAATTTACAAATAAATGTTTACTATAAAATAATAATTGTATAACACAGCTTTGATAAAACAGTACAGCAGATTTTATAGCTTTTTTGATTTCTTAATACAAGAATTTCTCTATAAACACAGTGTCTTTATACCTTTCTAACCTTAACAATTAAAAAAAAAACCAGTAGTGTTCCTTGAGTGACAGGACTACAAGTGAGTTTAATTTTCTTTTTACTTCTCTGTATTTCCCCAAATTGCTTCAACAGCATAATTTTCTCTAATTATAAAACATTTAAGTTAAATACAAGAAATTCTTAAACGTTAAAATAACTTGTACAAATGAGATAGAAAGTCTAGCTTGAGTCAAAATATATTTTTTTAAATGTCTATTTTAAAATAACACAAAACAGGGAATTCCCTGGCGGTCCAGTGGTTAGGACTTGGCACTTTCACTGCAGTGGCCCGGGTTCAACCCCAGGTTGGGGAACTATTTAAGATCCTGCAAGTGGTGCGGCCAAAAAGAAAATTAAAAATAAAAATTAATTAATTAAATAACACAAAATAAATACTTACCCATACGAATAAGTGAGCATTCAGAGCTTGAGCTAGCAGGAGGAGGACTAACATGATGTGTCAGCAATTCTTTGTAATGGCTTTCATCTAAAATAACATGGTATGTGCCTAACAAGACGAGAAGTAAAAGAGAAGAAACAACAGCTTTCCAGACATAAGAATGAACTGTAATTTCTATATAATTCTGTAAAAGTTTTACCATCTGAAAATGTTCATTTTCAAAGTAAGTTCTTAAGTTAAATTATCATTTTTCAAAAACTTTATTTAAATAACATCTCTAAATTGACTTCTCTAGGAATAACTGTAATTACAATTTAATTAAAGCCAAGTTACAAGTTCTTCACTAAGTATTAATATAGTAAAATTTCTAGCTTTTCAAGAGTTACAATGCTTCCTCTGAACACTGACATAACTACTGAAAATTCCTCGCATTCTGAGATGATATCTTATAGAATTGGTAATATATTTAATGTAACTACCCATATTTTGGACTTCAGCACATGAACTGATTTAAGTTTAGCAGCTTAAAAAAACATATAAAAACATCCTAATTAATAGACTGTTACTTTACATAGTAATTATGAGTAAATACTGAAGATTCTAGATATATACCACCAGTTTCACGAGCAAGCACAGTGCAAACCCGAACCTCTGCAGACAATCCAATAACAGACACTCTAATTTTAGCTGCCTTTAGGGTCTTCGTAAAATCCAAGTAAATGGTGAGTTTTGAGGGAAGAAAAAAAAGTGAATAATTAATGTGTTTGAAAAATAGAATGTTCTGAAAACTAGTAATAAATTCACTATAGAATTCTCTTTAGAGTTGTAACTTTGATTTTGATTATGAAGAAATTATTGGTTCTACCTTGATTAGGTCATAGATATTAGATGGATCACAGGTTGTGAGACTGCTAAAGATGATTAGGACTTCTCTACTTGTATGTCCGGGCATGTGTCTAAAGAAAGATAAAAACCACTCCAATTAGGTATAACAAATTACACTAATAAAAAACTTAACTCAGAAACAACAGTACCCATGGTTTACACACTTAGACTGCAGAATAACCCCATTTATTTCAACATTACAAAGGAATGAATTGTGAGTATACTCTAAAAACCTTAATGCCAATTTTTCTAAAATTAGCTACACACTTAAAAAAAATTCCTTGATTCACTTATTCATTCAATAAACATTTCTTGAATACTCTTTTAAGTTCTGGGGATAAAGTGATAAACAAGACCAACAAGGTTCCTGACGTCATGAAGCTTACATTCTAATAGATTTGTTTCATACAAAGTCTAAAGTGTACATTGGAAAGTGTGACAATACCACAGGAATCAACTTTAAGGTGCATATGTGTGGCTTGAAAATAGTAATATACTTCTTTTTTAAAGACAATTTAATCTCATGTTGATTCAGTCATAATATTCATAAACAGTAATGTTTGTGTACCATTTAATGCAATGATGGTTTACGGGATTTTAAGATGTGATGAACTGTTCTCCTCTATAACAAATAGATATTTCTATGCTTTTTGGAGCAACTTTATCAATTATTTATAGCTTTCCTGCTTATATTTTCATTGTTAGGCTCAGCTTTCACTTGTGGATGCTGCTGTTGTGCCTACCTTCACTATGTGTGTTACCTCCTTCTCATCTACTTCAAAACTAAAAAGTACCATATAAAGGTATAAAAATCTGAGTCAGGACAGACTATCCAGGGATAAAATATATAAGCTTTAAATATATTGAATACTTTCTTTGGGGCTTTAACTATATTCCACATAGTTAAACTTGCTAGAAAAGTGCTATTAATTTATAGATGTATTACAAAATAAATTAATAAAAACCAATGTACAACAAACTCAGTTATTATACCACATTAAATTCCACATACAATCAATTTTCAATAAAATATTTTTTATATTTCTTTTGTACTACTAATATTACTACAGCTTTAATTATATTTTTCTAAAACCTTTAAGGATATACCTCAGCAACTAAAATGTAAAATAAAAATTACTTACCAACACCATACTAAACATTATAAATGACATTACATATTTCTTTCAATAATGATTTCATTACAGCTGGGTTTATGGAGACGCATATTAACATATTATCGTTTCAACTTAACTCATTCAAAAAACTTTGAAATAAATTATAAACAATAAGTGTAAAATACTAACTTTAGAGTCTGCATAGCCATGCTTAAGGAGTTATAAAGAGATGGCTCTCCATGGCAAGTCATATCTACAGCTTTCTTCAAAGATATTATGTGTTTCCTTGAGTTTCCTAAAATAGAAATGGAATAATCTACTTTTAATAAAAATAATCTATATATACTTTATATAAATTTACCTTTCTCCCAAATTTACATATCTATGATGTTAAACAACAGAATCCCTTTGATTTACATTTTTAGCAAGTTGCAATTTTTTTTGAATTTTTGAATTTTATTTTATTTATTTTTTATATAGCAGGTTCTTATCAGCAAGTTGCACTTTCATCAGAAATGTTTTGTTACATAGTCTCACTCGTACTGGAAAAACAGAATACAAATAATCTGTCTATTAGCACACATTTTAATAATATTAACCTAGAGTGCATATATTTTTACTCTTAATATTTCCTATTTCATCATTTTTAATACTAATATATGTTCACATTTTAACATCTCTGAAATCACGATGTGTCTTACAATCACTGGCAGCCAGGCAGCGTTTGTGACACAGCTGTCACTGCCTGCTCATGTGCGAACCTATGAATGCTGTTGATGTGTTGCTGCTTCAACTGTATCATGTGCATTGTTTGTGTTGTTCACGTTGAGTTTAACTGCGATTTAAAGTGTTTTTAGAAAGGCTAATACAGACGGTTATATTTTTATGTAGAAAGGCATGGAACAGAACAGTGAGGTGTAAATTTGTTATTGGTGAAGCAAAAACTCATTGATAGAATGCCTGCAATTCCATTTTTTTCTTCAGGGGTAAAAAACAAGCACTTTATAAGACCCAAGAAAGAGGATTTCCACAAAGAGACAAAACTGTGTTACGTTGTTATTGAAATAACATCTGAAAAGACTGTCTGTCTCATGCTAAGCAATACAAATGAAGGGAAGAAAAACTGCCAAATTCTTTAGAATACTTGACAGGCAGGTCAAACCACCAAGAAGCTGGTATGAACAATTCACATGTCATTTGACGTTGTATCAAAGGTTAATTGCTAGAGTGTTTCCTTCTTGATGGCTCATAAAATAAAGGTATCTTACAAATGACAGAATCTGAGATTCAATAAAATATGGTATTCTTCAGACATTTCCTCCTATTTCAACATTGTTTTCATATTAATTAACAACAATGAAACATCGAGTTTATCATATAGCAAACTACCTTCATACCACTGAACATTTAATTTCCAATTTGTCACTATTACAGTGAGTTGGCCAGAGTTCGTTCAGGTTTTTCTGTAACATCATCGGAAAACCCCGAACGAACTTTCTGGCCAACCCAATACATACCACTGCAGACAGTATATTTGTAGAGTGAGGCTTTTTCTTCTTTCATAACATTTCCTAAGTATACTCCAAGGAATATTTTTTTTAATACCTTTTTTTTTCCCTCTTGGCCGTGCCACACGGCTTGCGGGATCTTAGTTCCCCGACCAGGGATTGAACCCGTGCCCTCAGCAATGAAAGTACGGAGTCCTAACCACAGGACCACCAGGGAAGTCCTCCAAGGAACATTTTTATGGCTCTTTTCCAGAAAATGTTAAACAAATTAACCAGACTATCAGCATTATAAGTACCAGTTTCTCCATGGTTCAGCAAGCCATATATTGCTTTTGAAACTTCATTTTGGTCATTTAAAATATGTAAAATGTTGTTGAGTGGGCTTTTTTTTTTTTTTAACACTAGTTTGGCTAAACTTTCTTTTTTAATAGTTATTTAATTCCTCTTTTTTTCTGGCATGCACTGTTTATCTTCTTTGCCCATACATCTACTTGGAGCTTCTTGGTGTTCTTATTTATTTGAATAAGCTTTAAAATATTAACCATTTGCCATAGTTAATATACAGTGGACCCTTGAACAGTAAGTGTTTGAATTATGTGGGTCTACTTATATGCAGATTTTTTTTCACTAAGTATGTGCTACAGTACTACATGATCTGCAGTTGGTTGAACTCACGGAGGTGGAACCACTGAAACAGAGCACCGACTGTAAAGTTATATGCAGATTTTCAACTGTGCAGAGGGTCAGCATTCCTAATTCTCAAGTTGTTCAAGGGTCAGCTATATACTGCAAGTATTTATTCTTGGAATCATAAAATTTTAGAAATGAAAAGTACCTAAGTCTAATTCCTTCATTTCATAACTGAGAAACAAATCTAATAAGTTAAGTGATTTGCCCAAAGACATATGCCTACGCAGTGGCAGGACCAACACTCAAAATCTTCTGGCTCTCTATCCACTTTTCTTTCTACCATAACATACAAAAAAACTTTTATCTCCTACTGTGTTATGAGTATAGAAAAAAGCATACTTACGTTACTGTCAGTGTGGTTTATAGCAGTGATTCTGTTCAGAGGAAGAGAGGGTACTTTCAAGAGGCCTATAAGAATCACCAGAGGATTTTTCATCTCTGTGCACCCATAGAATATTACTATTAACTTGGGGTAGGGGGCACGCAAGAGGGTCGGCCCTACATCCTTTTCTTAGGGGAACCATCCTTCCTTCACTGTATAAGAATCCAGTTTAGACTACGTGGTTCAAATGGAACTTACCCTGCTTCTAACCTACTCCAGACACAGACATGTAATCCAGGCCTACCAACAAAATACTTCATTCCCTTGGCTACTTTGACGGCTCATGGATGCGCAGATCATAATCAGAATCAATAAGAGTCCTCTTTGGAACCTGTGCTGAGGCTACGGACTAGGAGGGTCATGTAGACTTGGGCTATTAATAGACATCTTTTCACCTCTCAGAAAACCTATCAGAGAATGAAGCCAGACAGAAACAACTATATGTGAAGTCAGCCCACCTTTCAACATGAGCCAGTAATTTCCCCTCTGCCCTTAAGCTAGTTTGTGATTTTCTGGATTACTTCCAACTGAGTTTCCTGGATGACCCCAGGCTAACATACACTTCACTACTTACTGCTATAATGAAAAATTACTAATGATGGAAGTGTGTCAATTTTATGTGTATTGGTGAGGATGAAAGGTTGAGAACCACATTTAAGGGACAGTGTATTTTACAGAAAATAAAATAGAATTAGTGATGTAAGTTTGCAATGGCACATATACCAAAGCAAATAAAATCTGCCATTATTATCTCTTAAGAGAATAAAATTCAGTTAGGCATGTCATGCAAGCAGAAAATCTAATCACTAACGACTACAATTCAATTTTTATACTCTTTGTTCTTTAGAGGTTTACCTTTAAAAAATTAATTTTAAGATTAATTCTGAATGGTTAAAATAATTTTATCTTAATGCTTTCAGGATAAGAATAAACACATTTACATTCATTATAATACTATTCACGACTGTGCAGAACTCAATTTTAAAAAAAAAACAAATGAAAAAACAGAATTGAATTTAAAACAGGTCATTTTAGGGACTTCCCTGGCAGTCCAGTGGTTAAGACTCTGCGCTTCCATTGCAGGGGACACGGGTTTGATCCCTGGTTGGGGAACTAAGATCCCTCATGCCGCATGGGCAACAAAACAAAACAAAACAAAAAAACAGGTCATTTTAGAGACCAAGAGTTTAATAGAGGGTTTTTTAAGTGTTTTACCTAAAGAGCCTGCAGAAAGGTTTCATTTTACTTATTAGGCAACCTTACAAACAGTGTTACAAGGTTGGGTAAATAAAGCCAAGTCCTTGAGTGCTATAAAGGTAATTTTATGCATACCTGAGAGTTCAGTCAGTTTTTCAGCTCTTTTACTCTTTGTTACAATTATTCCAATCTCAAAATAAAAACAAAAATGATTATTAATTTAACAAATTATTTCTTCTTGATAAGAATGTACGTAACTAAAATAAATGACTAATTACAAAAGGAATAAGTAACATGAGAAACTTCTGATATAAGCTGAGCTATGTGTTCACTGTACATTAACTTCTAGAGTTGTCTTGCTTTTCATTGCTAAGTGTCCCAGAAACTTATACACGATCTGAATCACTTAATCACCAATAGAATATATGTACAATGTTTTAAAAAATAAATTATATTTGGCAATAATATCAGGATGCTAATTCTGAATTATATCACTTATCTACATACCTGACTAATAGGATTTTGATCAAAATATTCCTCTACGAAGTATTCCAACAACTGTTCAAAGAAAACAAAAAGGAAATACTAGATAAGGGCAAAACAACAACCACAGAAAACAGGTTTTGTGCAATCTTTTTTTTTTTAAATTAACTTATTTGTTTTTGGCTGCGTTGGGTCTTCATTGCTGCACGTGGGGTTTCTCTAGTTGCAGCGAGCAGGGGCTACTCTTTGTTGCAGTGCACAGGCTTCTCATTGTGATGGCTTCTCTTGTTGTGGAGCACAGGCTCTAGGCACGTGGGCTTCAGTAGTTGTGGCACGCGGGCTTCAGTAGTTGTGGCTCGCAGGCTCTAGAGTGCAGGCTTCAGTAGTTGTGGCGCACAAATTTTGTTGCTCCACAGCATGTGGGATCTTCCTGGACCAGGGACTGAACCTGTGTCCCCTGCATTGGCAGGTGGATTCTTAACCACTGCACCACCAGGGAAGTCCCTGTGAAATCTATTTATGAAGCATTGTTTCTAATGATTTTTAAGTTTATAGATTTTCAAAAAATGTTCAGAAGTAAAAATATTAAATAAATAAAAAATAATAAATTTTGAAATATTAAATAAATAAAAATTAAAATATTAAATAAACCTGAATTTGAAACAGTAAGTGATGAGATAGGTTTGAGCTAGGCCTTAAAAGATGGAATCATTTGGACATATAAGACAGAAACAATCTAAACAAGGAAAAGATCCAATAAAGACAAACAGGAGAATAAGCAAAATTGAGCATGGGTTTTAATAAATTAGGAATAATCTGAATGTGTTTATAAGCTGAGGAGATTGATTCAAGTAAGTCAAAGGAGAATGAAGATTCAATAAAGAAAGGGATAACTGACAAAGCAAGATCCTAACACGGAGTGGAATTAAGGGCATAAATAATTAGCTATTTTGGTATACCATTTCTGTAAATGATCGGGTAGCACTTCTACTTAGCTATAGTTTGTATTAGCTCAAAAAAAAAAATTGCTTTCTTTAAAACCATTTCTTTTACAGAATTCAGCATCCTTCCTCACATGTAGTATAAATCAGAATAATTTTAGTATACCTTTAAAGTACATGTCAGTCTATTTGGCTTTAAATCCTGGTCTTCCATTGTTCTTGATCCATCTACTACCACATAAAGATGGCGCATCTACCAAAAAAAATCCCCCAAAACAAAACACACAAATAAGAACAATTTTCAAATACATTTTTGATCAATAACTAAAAATGTCATTTAGTATTCACATATCCTACACATATATTTTTAATATATTCCCTTAAAAAGTTTGTTTTACTGTTGTTTATTCTATTAAGCCAGAATGTTTCTCTAACTCAAACTAGTCCTGTACCAGAAAAGGAAAAAAGAATAACATACCATTCCAAGTCGAACTTGTCCATGGTGCTCAAATACCCTGTTAAAATTATGCAAACATTTTAATGGAATACCATCTACTACCTGAAAAATCATTACAACTTTTCAACTAACCTGCATTTTTTTAGTGAAATAAATTATTAACTTATGGATGCATATAATTATGGGCATTTTGAACAGTCGCTGAAGATCAATTTCCCTGATGAGACTCTAGGTTGCTGGCTCCTTCCCCCTATTTAGAAGGCTACAAGTCAGTTTCCCTGAAACACAGCTCAAATGAAGTACCAAGGAGTGGCCATAAGTGGACAGAAACACCTAAAGGAATATATTTTACCTTTTGTAACACACACAAAGTTTACCTACCTTTTTCTCTTTGCTTTGAAGAGAATGTCTTCTATTGTAGCTTTAAGTGATCCTGATTCATCTTCTTTAAGAATCTCCCTGTAAGCAATAATTACTTGTTTGAAAAGATAAGCTAAAATTTTATCAACCCAAGAGAAATGAAAACATATGTCCACACGAAGATTTGCACCTGAATGTTCACAGCTGCATTATTCATAACAGCCAAAAATTATAAACAATCTAAATGTCCATCAAATGGTGAAAGGATGAATAAAAACATGGCATAAACATATTAACAGAATACTATTCAGCAATAAAAAGGAATGAATTACTGATTCATGCAACAACATGGATGAACTTGAAAACAGTATGTTCAGTTAAAGAAGTCAGACACAACTGACCACATATTATATGATTACATTTACATGAAATGTCCAGAAAGGGCAAATCTAGAGAAACAGAAAGCACACAGTAGTTGCCTAGGACTGGAGGTGGACATGGAATTAATTGTAAATGGACATGAGGGATATTACTGGGGTGGTAAAAATGTTCTAAAACTGATTTATGTTGATGAATGCACAATCCAGTAAATTTTCTAAAAATCATTGAATTATACATAAGAAACAGGTGAATGTTAACATGTGTAAAATATACTTCAAAAACGTTGTAAAAACAAAAACAAAACTCAAAACAACATCTAAAAGGGAAGGGAAAGTAATAATGCCCTACTTACCATGTTCTTTCATAGCCTCCTTCCCATCGCTTAGTTCTTTCAGGCTCTTCATCCATTTTTTTCTTACTGTATTGTATTATTCAATATTCTGTAAAAAAAAAATCATTAGATTGTGAATTGATTAAAGGTGTTTGTCACCAAATGCATACAATTAAATCTGAAAAGTAAAGAGCAGGAAGTAAACATACAAAGTAAAAAAAAAACTCAGAATGCAAAATCATCTTATTTTTTGCAATTTATTCAATAATTGTAGCTGACTGAAAAATACTTTGAAATCTTCATGGAACTCTTTTCCCATCTCCAAGAAAGAATACGAATAATTATGCACAAATTTGGCACCACCACAAATAAGCATCTCTTTACAATTAAAAAAAAACCAAAAATGTATTAAAGATGTGTCATAGGACAGAACCATAGAATTATGAGAAGTGGGTACAGGTGTAGATGAAACATGAGCCACAACTGCTGCTTATTATAGCTGAGTGCTGAATACATGGCGATTCACTGTACTATCCTTCTACCTTTGGGTTTGTGTGAATTTTCTCATAATCAAGTTTTTAAATGAAATTTATTATTATTCATAAATGATAAATGCTTATGGCTCATAATTTTTTAAAAAAATACAATATTAAACCTACACTATAACCCCAACTATTAAAAGAAAAAGGAAATATTTAGTAATTCAATAAATAGGACAAATGGTTTTGATGGATGTTACGATTAAGGATGATTGGTTTTTTGCTTCTTTATTCTTTTCTGTATTTTCATATTTTCAATATGAACATGTATTTCTTTAATAATCAGGGATACCCCACCTTGATTTTGATCTCAACTAATTTATTTTAAATTTTATTTAATTATTTAATAATTTCATTATTATTTAAATAATTTTAGTAAGCATTTGGAAAGGAACTTTATACATTAGCTCAGGCTGTCTCAAGAGGGAAGCTATATGGAAACTCTGTACTTTTCTGTTTTTGCAACTTTTCTGTAAATCTAAAATTATTTCAAAGTTAAAAATTTAAAACATTTGCATTTTGTTTTGTCTGGATTTCACATGTTATTTTAGAAAAAAAGATCATAGGATTTGAAAAAATAATAATCAGGAATAAAATTGGTGTTGGGAGTACTCTATTAACCATAACCAAGTAATAAACACCCCTGTCACATCCACACCTCCACCCTCCCCAATGGAATCTCCCTCCCCATTCTACATTCTCACTTTCAACTTCCTTCTACCATAGATGAAAGATCAAAGGAATCCTAAGTGCCAAGACATTAAGGACAAAACAAATCCCATCATTGGCAGGGGCAAAGATTAATTTTTGTGATGAGGACAATAACCAAGACCTCAACCTCATTTATTTCATTTTTCCTATAGAAAAATATACTTAAAAATCTAAATATATATCGATTTTTATAAATGGACTTCTGGAATTAAAACCTATTGACAAATTTAAGACTGCTTTTATGGCATCACCGCTTTCTCTGGCACCTGCTACAATTACATATTATTTGCTAAAGTTCTGTGTGTCTCTCACTGAATTAACAAGCCACTCCCTGGTGCTGGAAGAGATTCATTTGTTTCAGGATATCAGGTGATCCACTTTAGTATCCTGAAATAACAAGAAGTGCATTAATTCTGACATCAGTGCTATTTCAACACACCATGTTGGTGCCTTGTAGGTTTAATGATGAGTGTAGTAACACAGCATACAGTGACTAAATTGAACATTTTGATCTTCCATGGAGGTGTTTTTGTATTTATCATGAATGTCAAAAATCAAAAGCTTAAATTCTTAAAGAGGTGGCTACTGCCATCCATCACATCAATATTTAAACTGTATTTTATTTTTATTTTATTACTTTTAATTCTCTGAAAGTTCAGAAACAAAGTGAGAACTATATGAGCAGAAGCTGCAAGCAGGACCACCTCTGGCTCACTGCATACAAGGACTTCTTAATTCGAACTGTCTGCAATGGGAAATTACAGGGATAGGACAGAGATATTAAGATCCCCATAACTGCAGATGTTCAAAGGGAAGCTGGATGTTTACAATGCATGCAGTTAATAGAGAAGGGATTTATGCAACCTGGAGGAAAATGTACTTGGTAACCTCTTAGGTCAGCATCTCCAACTGCCTATGACTGCCCAATATTCCATCTTCTTACAAATATCGCTGGGAATCCAACCCCAGGAAAGCCACTTCCCCCTGGGGAAGCCTGGTGGTATGATTCCTTCACATGAGCTCAGAAAGCTACACGTAAACAGATGAGATCTGCACCACACATCGCAATTTATGAAGCCTTCCCTCACACCTAACCCTGCCAAGCGCTGTGCGACAGGCAAGGGTGATAACTGTCCTGCTTTTCAGGTGTGGAACTCAAGGGTCAGAGGCTGGTAACTCTATTGAGGCCACACAGCTGGAGGCTGGTGACGAGCTAGAACCCAGGACCACAAGTCCCCAAACTCGCGCCCTGCCTTAGGGCAGGAGAGCCACTCTCCACACTGCTGCCCCAGATGCTTCTATGCAGCTCCCTAGACGGAATTTGCCCTCCTCCCCCATCCACACATCCTCATTCCCTGCGAGGCGGTTCTGGGCCATTCAATCCCCGCTTCCAGCCGTGCAGCCCCTCCCGCTGCCACACTTCCCAGGCCTCGGATCCACGCCTCGGCTCCATGCAAACCTTTACCGCGGCCTCACCTGTCCTGCTGAGGGCCGCTCTGCCGGAAGCTCTGCACAATTTGCTCTGAGGGCGCCGCCGAAGTCCTTCCGCCGCGCACGGTGGCGACGCGCAAACGTTCCGGCTGCTGGGAGCGGTGGTGGCCGGAGCGCGGCGCTCGCAGGCCGGAGCAACCTTGTTGACTTCGCGAGGAGGGACGTCCTGCTTCCTTCCAGCTCTTCGCAAGGAGGCGGGAAGAGTGGTGGCCATTCGCTCTTGAAAAGTTGGAGGCCTGGTAGCCGTCCATCCGGCATCTGAGAATTGATTTTATTATTTACAAAAGGTTAGCGTGAAGGACTCTGACCACATCAGTAGCCTCAGCTGAGCCAGCTTGCTGTGCAGCGGTTTTCCCGGACTGCTCTGCTGCTCCTGCTAAATGACACAAATATTTATTGAGCACCTATTTGGGGCCTGGTACATTTCTAAGCACTGAGGAAATAGAGATGAAAAACTGACAAAAATCCTTGCCCTCATGACAGTTATGAAGAAAAACATACTGTATCAAATGGTGATTGTGCCATAGAGAAAAATTAAGCATGGAAGGGGGAAAGTGTGTGGTTTAAAATAGGTGGTCAGGGGACTTCCCTGGTGGTCCGGTGGTTAAGACTTTCACTGCAGGGTTCACAGGTTCGACCCCTGGTGGGGGAAATAAGATCCCGCATGCCAAGAAGACAGTCGAACCATGACCAGAATGAGGGAGGGAGTTAACCGTGCTGATACTTAGGGAAAGATTTCTGCAGGGAAAGGGAGCTGCAAGTACAAAGGCCCCTGGGGTGGAAGCACATTGCTGTGTTTGAGCGACGGTATGGGCAAGCAGGGGATGAGTGGTGGCAACTGAAATCAGAAGTGCGGGTCTCGAAGCACTGTCAGAACTTTGAAGGGATGATGATGGCTTGGACTAGCATAGTATGGCAGTGCAGCTAGTGAAAAACGGCTGGATTCTCAATCTTGTCAATAGACTGGATGTTTGTCATGAAAAAAAAATCAGTGACTCCAAAGTTTGTTGCTGAGCAGCTGAGAGGCTGGAGTTGCAATTACTGAGAGGGTGGGGGGTTGGTAAGATCAGTTCAATTTTGAACAAGTTGTTTGAGATATCTGCTAATACACACAGAATTACTAGCATTTCCCATACCTGAGAAATGGAGAGGCAAGGCACCGCAGAGCCTCAGAAAAGGATTATGCCCAGGAAAAGGAGAAAGGATCTGCCAGAACCTCTCTGGTTCCCCATCATCGCACGCTTCCCCTCTGTTGCCTATATTGTTTTGTTGGTACTAAAATCTTTCCATGTATTCTTCCCCCTCAAAAACATAAACAGAAGCCATCCTGCACAGTAGTGGAAAGAACAGACCTGAATTAAAAATCAGGCTCTGCCACACTAGCTGGGTGACCTGAAGCAAGTCACAACCCAAGTCTGATCTATAAGATGGGATTATTTCCACCTACCCTACAGGGCTTGCACATCACATCTTCGCAACTCCATAACCAGGTCCTTTTATTTCTCCCCAGAAGACAAGGTCTCACTGTTTAGTTCTGATGTTGTCTTTGCAAGGTGAGGAGGGGAAATTAGCATTGCTGATTCCCAGTGCCAGTTGGCTTCCATTTTTGCCTCCCCTACATCTTTGACTCCTTTACAGGACTCACACACAAACTCCACCCTTTTTCCTTTTACTTCCTTCCTAGTATCCCCTCTTCCTCCCTCCCTTCCTTCCAGAAACCCACTTTTCTTTCCTTCTGTTCTGATTAGCCATTCTGTTCCAAGACAGGACTCACACCTACAGAACAAACAGCTACAACCCCAAGCCCCAAGTTTCTCATTTATGTTTACTATCCACCTGTCTGGGAAGACTTTGTGGAAAAACAGAAAAAGGACAGAGGACTCCCCAATGAATTTAAATTAAAGCATATCTGTGGACTGGAGGCCGAATCATTCAAGCTTTTCCCAACTCTCCTCTGAATATATGTCTCAGATCTTGAGTCAAGTAGGAATGGTACTAAGGCAAAACAAAACAAAAATGCATAAATCCATGGTGATCTTTTGCCATTATTATGACCAACACAATATTTTAATTGCTTACAAAGTGGTAGAATAAAGAAATGATATAACCTAGTCAAACGTTTCAATTTGTAAAACTAAGCAACAACTATAAAGAATGGAACAATCTGTTCTCTGCCCATGGGTGGCTGGACACAATCCAGAGAGTTAGGAAATTCACAAACAGCTCAGCCAGTGGAATCAAGCCGAAATTCAAAGTGTACAACTTCTCAGACTGGGAGAGATGAGCTTGCCTATTGCAATACCTTTAGATGGAACCTCAATCATTCGAGCCTTCATTAAAACCCTCCAGAATTGCCTATAAGAGTATCTGATAATCTTTAACTTGATATGTAAACTCTATACTATCTGTTCAAGCATTTGTTCATTATCTATGAGTTATCACAATGCCAAACATAAGGGAATTATCTGCCTAAAACTAAAAAGAATTTACACCATAAAGCTGTACCCAGCACACACCAAACATATGGGATTGGGATGATACATGTACTTTTAAAACCCAGTTTGCTTTTAAAAACTTGTTTTCACCATTTGGCTTTGGAAAGTAGGTATAACTGGCCATATTTATTTAATTTATTTAATTTATTAATTTATTTGGCTGCATTGCGTCTTCGTTGCTGCATGCAGGCTTTCTCTAGTTGCGGCGAGCAGGGGCTACTCTTCTTTGCAGTGCATGGGTTTCTCATTGCAGTGGCTTCTCTTGTCACAGAGCACAGGCTCTAGGTGCATGGGCTTCAGTAGTTGTGGCACTTGGACTCAGTAGTTGTGGCTCATGGACTCTAGAGCGCAGGCTCAGTAGTGGCACACGGGCTTAGTTGCTCCGCGGCATGTGGGATC